TCGACGTAAAAACCATCCTTGAACTTCAACGAACATTTAAAAAAAAGAATTGGCCAAATTGGTCCAGGTGTTGTTGAGTTATGAACTTACCAACACATTTTGCGATTCATTTTTATATTATAGATTTGATGATAATTATTTGATAATTATTTGGATTTTTTAAGGGTAGACCAAAGTATGGTTATAAAACTTATGCAGGTTTGATTTCCATTAAAATCTCTAAATGTTTTCAAAATTGCAAAATTTAAAAAAATGTTCGGTATCTTCCAACATTTATATTTGAGATAAATATTTTTGTTGAAATTAAATTAAATTTGGTCGAAATAAAATATTTAAAAGAGGTCATGTGTAATTTTTTAAAGCGCGAGTGGTTTTTGCGTAATTTTGCTTGAAATAAAGGCAATTTAAAAAACACGATTTTCTCAAAAATTCATCCATTACTTCTTTAAAATTTGTATCGGATGGAACAAAGTACGCTTGAAAAATTGTGCATATCCGAGTTTCATTGAACTATTGAAATTCATTGAATTCATTGAATTTTCGACAATTCTCCCGTTACATATAACGCAAGAAAGTATGTGCTGTTGTAGCACCAATAGTTTTTTATATAGTATTATTTCAAAGATTGAAATTGACATTGAATAGCCCATTAAATTATCTTCTAATGTAAATTATAATATGTTATGTTAAATTTTAAGTTAATGATTAAAATATAAATTTACACAATAAGTAAATTTTACTATGATTACCTGAATACCCTTCCAAAAATTGCTTTTCCTTTGCCTTCTCACTTCATCTATACCCGTATAATTATGTGGTCGTCTATCAGTATTTAACAGTAGGTAACAGCAACTATGACAAGATCTATGAAGTAACTTGTCATTCTTGTATCCACAGTTACAGGGAAAACATGAAGCAGCTTTCAGCAAGATTTCAAGACAACCTTAACTCGCCATTAGAAACTGCAGTATTTTGGACTGAGTATGTGATAAGACACAAAGGAGCACGTCATCTACAAACAGGAGCCAAAAATCTAAACTTCATACAGTTCTATCTGTTAGATATAATAGCGTTCCTGGTTATAACTCCTACAGTACTGTTTTCTATGATAAAAAGTATATTCTTTAGAAAGAAATCTAAGCTAAAGATAAAACATAAATAGAGCTGAATATATGATTTATTTGTAATGTCAATATACAGTCATAAAGAACGAAATTACTTTAATTGTACAGGAAGCAGCTTTTAATATCATATGGCTGAAACGTAGTTGAATGGTAACCTCAAAAATTAAATGTGTCTTTTAAATAAGATAACACAGAGTTGAGAATGCTTTCCAAATAAATTATTCAAAGGAATTGTACTGAATGTGTAAATGTGGTATTTGTAAATACGTATGTATGATCTGGTTCTCTCACATTATTTAAATAAAAACAAATCTAATTTAGTTTTAATGGTGCGTTCTATAACCATTCCCAATTAATTTTACAACTTTTTTGAAGTTCTGTATTAGATGATAATAGTTCAAGTATTATTATTCTCACTAAAATAATTATGACTATTACCCCTGTTGTTTACTATTTCTATTCCACTTGTCAAATTAAAACCAATAGAGTTTACTATACATACAAAATGCCCCAATAAGGGTGGTGTATCTCAAAAAGTTTATTGTTTTTCCTATCCCATTTTTCTTACCGCTGCTACCTACTGGCCAATCATAAATAGTGATGCAACAATCATTGGAGGCGTCAGCATCGATTGTTATGTCGATATCCAGTAAACAGCGTTTGCAATATAACCTAACCTCTGATTTTAACATACGATTTTTGTTATTATCAATATTTGGCGCATTTTGAGACTTTGTTGGACATAATTTCACTCGTGGAATAGTCCTACTAAATACCACTCGTGCTTTGGAAATTCTCAGATAAATATCATCTTGGCTTCGCGAATTAGGGATTTATCGACAATTTTAAAAGCACTCGTGGTATTCCTAATAAACAGCATATTCTACAGAAAGAAATTTAAGTTGAAAAGAAAACAATATATTTTAGCCTTAATAAAATCTGTTTAAAGGTAGATTTTAAAGTAACGGTATCTACAATTTTTCCAAAGTGAGTACTTTTTGCGTAAATTTGATTTTTTATATGATATATGTACAGTCATAAAAATTAAATTCCTTTTTTAATCCACAGGAATAGTTCTTTAATTATTTTTTGACAAATTAAAGACAAATTACTCGATTTTAAAAGTTTCCTTGACCAGTGACGAGTTGTTTCACATCCTTTCAGTGAAACATTCATGAAACATTTCCTTTTTACTGGTAAGTCATAGATCCACCCAAATTCACTTAACATGCTTACTTATTGCCCAGGTCACTAACTATCATTCAATAAATAATGCAAGATAATGTTAAGGTAATTGAGAATGTTAATGGTAAATGGAGAAAGTAGTTGAATAAAAGCATTTTAAAGATCACCTATCAAATGGTGTTCTATTGATTATTTCGTGTTTCCTGCCGCGTGAACGGCTATGATCATCATTCCCATAAGCGTAGGTCATGTTTATTATGGGAGTTTTTTTATCTAACATCTGCTTTATTTGCAATTTGTTCTACTCGAACATTCGGCAAATACAATTGTACATACATTATTGACATGTAAAGAAATCATCCAATTCTGGTTCTTTCTAAAAATGGTTTTAAACTAATTGTCCAATTCAGAGAGAAAAACAAAACAAAACAGAACAACAATAACCAACATCACATTGAAATAACAATAACACAATAACAAACCAAACATACAATCAGTGCAAGCTTGTGGGACAAAAAAAATTATATCTACAATAACAATTATTTTAAAAGAAAAATATTATATCTGTGGTCCAGATCAAGAGGATGTACTCTTTTCAATCTTCTTGTCATTATGCTGTTATCTAAGATGTTTATGGCCAGATGATTAATATGATTTTCGAGTCTCTGTTGGTATTTGTGAGATTTGAGGTAGTGATTTCCTCTTTTAACAGTGGGGTGGTATTGAGATCTTTATGTAGAGTGGCGTTTGATACATACCAGGGAGCATTGGCTTAATAATCTGAGACATTTGGATTGAAAATCTTTGAATTATTTCTATATTTGAATGTGAAGCCTGTTGTCCCCAGAGTTTCAATTCCATAAGACCAGATAGGTTTGAGTATTGTTTTGTAATTAAAATTTTGTTTTCTAGACTTAAGCAAGATTTTTCTTCCTATTAACCATATTTTGTCTACTTTCAGTACTCGGCTTCCTTTCTTTAAATCGAAATATGTTTCTTCAGGTATAGCCTTTTATTGTCGCAATGCTAGTTCCGCGAGCACTATTTGATGGTGTTCTACGTTTTGTTCAATTAGTTTATTATGGGAGGTGGCGCAGGTGTTCCTTCCCCCATGCATGATGGTGAGATCCAGTGTCGACCTACACGCTGGGCATTGCGTGCGGTTAAAAGAATTATTATTGTCATCGAAAATAATTATGACTCATTACCACTGTTGTTGTGACAATTGACTATTTCCAATTGTCAAATAAAAACGCAATAGCGTGAACTTATATACTTATAACTATATATATATATATATATTATATATTGCCGACCCACACGTGGGCTTGCATGGGTTTCCCCCATCCAGGAATCTCTTATCAGCAGGGCATCCCCAGCCGGGTCGAGTTCTAAGTTCGCGACTGGTGTCCCGGTAAGTGGTAGTATAAGTATGTGATGGTGTGTAAAAGGAGAGGATATATTGAAGAAGAGGAAGGAAAGATCGCGCGCGGTCGGTGGGCCCGGTTGTTAGGGCACTGCTCCGGCATTCGCCTGGAACTGAACGGAGAAACCACTGAAAACTATCCATCAGAATACGCGCAGGCTAGAATTTTTCCTCCAGACAGTGGCTGAATTCGACCTACCTATCTAGTAGAATGAAAAGTCACACGATATCAGCAAAATAAATCAACAGGTATACAAAGAGAAACTTAAATCTCAAAACAGTCCAACCGACCGCTTCTGTTGTGCTAGTGTTAAAGAGACGCTAAGTCTCAGACTGTTATCTAAGCGTGCCAGTCACTGCCATTATACAATCATAGAATGCCCTTGATCCCAAATGGCCTTCTGCTGTCTCTCTCCCCACACGTAGATCTCTTCACTGCGCGAGTGGTGCACGGTGCAACGACCAGCTAATCAACAGCCCGATCAATTCATCCAAGTCATCGAAATGCATTGAAGGACAGCAGTTATACACTAATATCAGGTACATCCCTTTTTTCAAACTGTGTATTTTTACTTTCTCTTGTACTAGGTACATAGTAAAGAAAAAGTATTGTAATGCTGCGACGAAAAGTGGCGATTCTTCAACACAAAAACTCGTATTGTTGGGGAATGAAATCGAAAAAAATGGATAATTTTCGATCGTTTACTTCATCTAACACGTCGCCTTCTCAGAATCCACGTTTTAAGGGTCCTTCATACCGGGGAATTGCCTTACAGCAAAATGTCCATGTGCATGCTAGAGCATCAACCGTTCCAACTTTTTTCTCCAAAATTGATCCATCGTTCTGGCCGAACTTGAATTGCTGCAGATTTGAAACGAATATTTGGATTTTCATGAATACTTTAAATTTATTTTCAAATATTTTTTTTAATTACTCCAAACTTTTTCATTAATTTTTATTCTTTAGGTAGAGCACAAGTCACTTAAAAAATGAAACACATCACATTTTGGTTAAATTCGCTGACTTTTCGAAAATTGCCCAAGTTTAACTTTTTTGTCACCTTTCTACAAATACAATATTTAAATTGGAGATATTTTTTTTATGAAACGTATTCTTCAAACATAGCTCCTTAAATAATGTTATGTAAAAGTTTTCAGAAACATGAGCAGTTTTTCCGTAATTTCGTAAATATCGACATGTTTTAAACAATTCTAATCTCGAAATCTGCACCGAATATTTTCTCTAAATGTTTCCTTTGATACACGAACAGACGCTTAAAAATATAGCAGGTACCATTTTCGGCGAATTCTCTATTTTTTGGAAATACAAAAAAATCAATATTTTAAAAGTACAATGTTGATGTTCGAGTTTTTTTCTTAAGAAATTCAGTTCTGAAAATTGGATCTTTAAAGGCCATATATCATGTTTTTAAACAAAGAGTTTTTGCGTAATATCTGTTTGATGTTAATGCAATTTATAGAAAAAATATCAAAAACAACTCCAATTTAATTCTTTAACTTTCTCTCTAGGATATAATAAAGGATGCTTTAAAAATTACATTGGTCTCATTTTCATCTGAATTTGTAAACATTTCTTGTTTCATCATTTCTTTGGATTCTTGATTTTCCATATGGTGCACATGTAGTATTTTTTCCATTGAAACTTTTCTACAGTTCTTTTCGTGCGATGTAACCACAGATAGTCACCTAGTCATCGCTGTCAAATGCATTAAATATTAAATCTGAACTTTCCCTTTGTACCTAAATAATAACCAAGACAATAACTTACGAAACAAATAGTTTTCAATTAAAACAATCACAGTAATAAACAGAGACGTTTGGTTACTTCATTTGAATTTGCTGATCTATAATTTATTTTCTGTCCATAGCTTCCTTTGGTAGCAACAAAACAAGATGAATACCATTAACAAGTCGATCATCGCAGGTATCTTCCTGCTGAGCTATGTTTCCATAATCAACTCCGCCAACATTCTCGTACTTTACACTCTTGCTTCACGAAGTGTCCACATTTGGCATACTCCACTTCTCACCGCTCTAGCAAACAAAGGACACAATCTCACAGTAATAAGTCCAGACGCACAAAAGACACCGGTACCAAATCTCACAGATTTACAAGTAGATGGCATGTACGAGGGTTTGACAGATCAATATGCTCGGGAAGATTTGACGGAATCCTCAACGTTCTACTGGATAGCGGAAACGTTTGCCTATTTCGAAAATGCCTGTAGTTTTGTCTTGAAAAGCGACCGTATCAAGCAGCTATTGGACTATCCACCAGATTTTAAATTCGATTTAGTTTTGATTGAACCGGTGGGATCAGAATGTTTATTGGGTATTCTTCCAAAATTTGGGAACCCTCCAATTGTGTCTGTGAGTAGTCTTGCCTTGCCTCAGTGGGTTCTGGAAATTACAGGCACGTCTGCCAACCCATCCTATGTGCCTTATGCGTATTTACCTCACGACGATAAAATGAAATTTCCGGAACGAATGTACAATTCCATTGCGTATTTGTATTCGTATGTCTTGTATAATTATAATTATTTGCCGAACATGGATAGAGAAGCTAGATATTTTTTTGGTTCTGACATTCCTTCCGTGTACAATACACTGAAAGACACCAGTATTACTCTATCAAACTACCATCCCACCCTTGACACCCCACTACCAACAACGCCGAATTTAATACCGATTGCTGCAATACAGGTGAAGGAACCCAAACCTCTGCCAGCGGTGAGTATTCTGCTTCATTTCGTGTAATTATTAAACCTTTTTTAAGCTGTTACTTTGGGTATTGGCGAAAATTGGCCGTTGGAATAGGACGCCACTTGATGAAGTTTACGAGAATATGTGAAGTGACCATGAAGTTTTTTGCTGCACACAAACGATACGTTACGTTTCAATAAACGAAATAGTATAGAGTCGGAGGGAGGAAACAGGAAAGTCATTTTTTTTCGAAATCGCGTTAGTGGTGTCATTCAATAATAGATGACGAAAGTTTCTCTTAGAGGTGGAAACAGCAAAAAAACACGTCTGTAATAACGGTTAGCGAATCGGACTGCTGTACCGAAGTCTGTGGCTCTACACGATCGAGGCCGTGGATTTTAAAAGGCGAAAAAACCTGCTAACTTGTAAGAGAAAGTGTGTGCTACTGTGGAGAACTACTTCTTTTAATATCATGTAGTTATTTACATGACATAAAAATTCATTCAATTGTTTTTACAGTTACGGTCTGTCAGTTTGTTCTACGTAGCTTTTCGGAGATGACTAAACCAATGTAGAAGGGTTTTCACAGAAAGGAAGAGAATTTTCTCGGGCATAATTTAGGCTAGTTGTTACTTTCTCGAGTACGTAGCACGGAACATTTCTGTAATGCTACAAGTACTCGATATCGAGATTTTGACAGAAATACATTTTTGGGGGTACCTATCATAAGAAAATTGTTGTTTTCAAAACGTCAGCTTGTTCATCTCTTCTTCTATCAAAAACCTTGACAGGATATTCACCGAAATGGATATTCCTCAACCGATCTGATTTGTCGTGGACCCTAGTAATTTGAAAAGGATTTTTTCTGGGAGAACTTTGAATGTAATCCTTAAGAACAATTCTTGAATTTCTTCTACAAAATGGTCCCATTTTGTTCTGGTAGTCAGAAAAGTACGCTGCTCAGAAAAATGGTGCAGATCCGAATTTCAGTAAAACCTCTGAAGTCATGAAAGTATCAAAAGTTTATAATTTCGACCCCCTTTCCTACATACCTACCTTTCTTTAAATAATGTACTTTTTTAAATTAAGAAGTTTATGTGTAATTGTTTGTGAAATTGTCACAATTTTTAAAAAGGTTAACAATATTTTCTCAAACACGGCTTCAGTTATTCTTGAACTTGTTTGGTCAAATAGATCAATACAACTTAATAATCGAAATGTCAGAGGTCCAATATTCATTAAACACTAAAGTTTCGAAAAGTGCGAAAGTTCAGTTTTTTGAATATCTTACACCAATATTGTAGTAAGAAATACCTTTTCTAATGCAACTTTTACTTCGATAAGAGCTATTCAAATTTCAAGAACATTTTTTTCAAAAGGTCATTTATTTTCGCATAATTTTGAGTTATTTGTTCGGAGTTTGTCAATTCATTCACTACTCTCTATTATAAGAAGAAGAATGATTGCGGGTTTCTACACAATTCTATAGTTTTATTTAGATCTTAACGAAAATTTAAGCACTTAACGTTCAAAACAAGAGAATCGTTGCTGTCTTCTGTAACTGAATGAAAAATTGCATTAATATAACAAAATAATACTTTCAATAAGTTGTTGTAAATCAATGCAAGTTATTTACGCATTTTTTGAAGTTGGATACTTTTGTCGAACACATTTTCTTGGTCACATTTTATTTCAAAAATGTTAATTGATTAATACTAAATTATAAATATTACTTATTTGTAACAGAAAAATAATTTCAACAAAAAGTATTCATTCAAGATATTTTGCATAGTCTTTTCTGTGTCAATTAACTCTTTTTGTTCTTATTCTTTTGATGTACTCTATTTTGTAGTTTGCGTCAGGACTGTACTCATATCAAAAAATATTTTTCTCCCACAGGATATCCAAACGTTTTTAGACGAAGCAACGGAAGGAGCTATATATTTCAGTTTGGGAAGCAACGTACGCAGTGACAAGTTGTCTTTGGCGACAAGGAAAGCAATTATCGAGGCATTTGCTGAACTGCCTCAAAGAGTATTGTGGAAGTTTGAATCAGACCTGCCAGATGCGCCCAAAAATGTGAAAATTAGCAAATGGTTGCCGCAAAATGACATCTTAGGTAAGTAATACGCATTGTATGTGTGGAACAACGAGTAGTTGGGAATTTACGAAGACAATCCAAAAAAGGTGTAGTATTCACCCAATTTCACAAAATGTAAAATTTCAACGCGCGCGCACGCGTGTGTGTGTGCGTGTCAGTTCGTAGTACAGTTCATTACAAAAAAAATGACAATCTGTTATATAATCTCAAACCATAAAATATCAATTGGATCCCTACAAAAGGGCAAATATCAGAAATAACTGTTTACGATAAAATTAGATATATCTGAAAAGATATTAAACAACAGTGAAATAAATGAATTATTCACTGCATTCATCAACAGTGTATGATTTTAGGACGGTGATGTACTGCCTTCACTTAAACAAAAGCGAAAAGCGAGAATTAATAAATAAAATGTTTACCAAATATATAGAGAACCAGAACCAAAATATACAAGATTTCAGAAACCTGGCAAACAAACGAAGTTACATAACCACGACAATACATTTGGACACGTTGAGTATACAGCAAGATGGTAGTCGTAAACATCTACAAGAAAATTATGGCCTATAAATCTGTCTAGAACATGCGATACTCTCACATGCATACCATAGTACTTAATTTAAATAACATATTTTTCATCCATAAAATTACTGAACTTTGTGTCGTTCTATTTTAATTCAATTTTAAAACATTTGAATACTTCACACACTTGCTCATTGTTTTCGTAGTAAATAAATAAAAAAACAAAACCTATAACTTTCACTTCCAAAATTCTTTTGGTTTTGAGATCCACAAAGCAAAGAAACGTGGCAGTTCTATTTATTCTTTTAGAACCATGTAAATTACTTACGCGCCTGAGTGACATCTAGTGCTTTCACATAGCCGGATCACATGTTTCAGTGGAAAAGGTACACCGCCACCTGTCGGGATGTAACAAACATTACACTTACGGGATTAACGGCATGAGTCATTCATGCGCCCGACATCAATAAAAACTCTCTCGCTCACAAAACAATTCGGTAAACCAGCTTTGTCTGTATAAAGTTGGCATAACAAGATCTCATAGACCACAAGAATTGACCACAACTTCTGAGCTACAGTGGAATCTGTATTCTCGACTAGTTCAGATACAAACCAAATGTAAGACAACTGAAAGAATATTTCCCCTTAGAATAGAAATTCCATTAAAAACCAATTCTGATACTCGAAAATGCATGTAGCATTTACAAAAAAAATTGTATTCCATGATCACAAACGACCTTTTTTCATTAAAAGAAATCGTTCATAAAATGACATCGTATGGCACAGATTATTACGTATTTGCCGTTTATGGCACGAACAATTGCGTCATCATGCATTCAACCAAGCGCAGCGAGAGAATCGTTAATAAGTAGCAGTAAAAAGCACAGCCGTCCATCATTTGTTTTCGCACAAATTACAATGCCCGTGACGACGCGGTTTCTAAAACTACACTTTATTTGATAAATTCATTCTGCTATACACAAAATAACTTCTGGAACTCGTTCATTATGTTGCTTTATTATATTCCTGCACATTTGAAAACTCGCTCTTAATGTAGCTCGTTTTCAAAATATGTATTCGTGCAATAAAGCTTAACATAATAAACTAGTTGCATAATATATTACATTGCGAACTCCATTGCGTATCTCGCTTTCTTTATCAAAGGGATTGAACTCGTAAGTTCCATTGGCCCCATGGTCTCTTATTTAGCAGCCACAAGAAACAAGTTTGAGAAATAGTTGATCACCCACATTACTTATTCATATTTTCGAATACGAATATTTTCGAATTCATGCATAAATTAACGGAAGTAGAGAATTATCTTATGTGTCACTTGTGCGACCAGTGTTAGAATATGACACGGAATGTTGGGACCCGTACAGAATATCGCAACAAGGTAATCTAGAAAATCTGCAGCACAGAGCATCAAAATTCACTTTCCGGGATTCAAAAAAATGAGGTCATATGAGAGTCATTCGAAATAAGGCATATTAAATTGCCATGTACAAAGCATACACAGACTTGGAATAAAATTAGTCGTCGTCTAGGAAAACCTACAAACTTCAGTAGAGCGGATCACGTGCACAAAATTAAGACAAGAATACAAAAAACGTACGTTAGGAAATTTTAATTCACAAACCGAACTATAAGAGATTGGAACAGTTTGCCATCGACAATATTTGAACGCTTTCCTCAAAGTTTCGGAAAAATTAAAAACAAATTAGTTTTCTGGCTATTTATGTAAATTTAGATCAATGTATTACTGTTAAGTTTCTACAGTTAAATTAGTAGTATTTCCTAATAAGTACGTTTGTTTAATTGTTATTATTAGTACCAATTCTATTAGATTAGATTTATTTAGTCAAAATAAATATTCTTCATGTCTTCCGGGCTGATGGGCCATGGTCCAATTGGCCCATCAGCCTGGACGACATGAAGAATATTGACTCCGGCTGTGAAAGCCTTCAATGCTGTATAAAATAAATATTATATATAATTAATATTATTCGTATTATTATTTTATTACGATTATGTAGTGCAGTGCAGTGTTGTGTTATGAAATAAAGAGAAAGGAATGCAAATGAAATGCATCACAGTTAAGTGTAGTGTGGTGCAGTGAATTGTGTAGTATGGCCTACGCGGTGAAATTGTGTACCATTTATTATCAATTATTGTTTTTAATTAACTACTCTCTTGTAATTTATTGTTAGTCAGTGTAAGCTTCATTCACGTTAAGATATTCTGCTACTAAGTTACTATAATTAATTTTGGAACTGATAATAAATCCAATCCCTTCTTGTAATAATTTTAATATGATTTCGACTGTTCCAGCTCATCCCAACATCAAAGTATTCATTACGCATTCTGGATTGCACAGCACGCACGAAACTATCACACGAGGGGTGCCAGTAATTGGAGTACCTTTCATGATAGACCAACATACGAATATTAAAAAGCTTGTGAAGCTAGGCTGTGGAATCCAATTGGAATACAAGAACATCAGAAAAGACACTTTTCTTCGGGCTCTTCGTGAAATTATTAAAAATCCAAGGTATGATGTTAAAATTCACGCCTTCCGAAAGGGCGTAAAGCAAAGCGTACAATTTATAATAGTATGACCCAGTGTCGTCTGGTCCTTAAGGGTGCGCGCCCTGCCCAGAAAAAAATAACCTTGGGAAAAGTTGCTATTAAACTTTTAATAAATCGACTCGTTTAATTTGTGCATGCCACCAGCGCAATTTTTGAGGGCTTATTCAGTTTTAGGTATCCGCTTAAGCAAAAGATAAAATGTTTTTAGGATGGGTCGTATCATGGACTATCGCGAGTCCATCCGTTGCTGGTGCATGAGAGGCAATGGAAGATTGAGATAGAGTGGGAGTTAGTTGGGGGCAGGGTGCTGCTGTTGGCTGAGTCCACACCTATTAACTTGGTTAAGAATATACGACTCTTTCCATTCGATTTAATAAATTACTGCTCTCTTTGCACGAAATATTTTATAAAAAAGTTCTTACTTTCGCGTGAACACAATTGCATCTTCCGTTATCAACGTAAAAGTTGTCTTAGACAAGGATTAAAATCCCGATGCGTGGGTTGAACACTACATGCTGTAGTTTGCCTCGTTCAAGATACATTTTGAAGAGGTAAAATACATGTGATAATTCGGACTTATATGACGCTTCTTTTTATTTGCAACCCCCGGTCACCACAGATAGGACCTGTATATCACGTTTCAACAGAATGTCTCAGAATAAACAATACAAACCATGGTGGAAATGGGCGAGTTCCTCCGGCGCACCACTAGTTTGCGTCACGAACCACGTGACCACAACATGGTTACTTCGTTTGAAAAGCCAGACCAGACGCTGGCCGCCATGTTGCATGGAGACCGAAAAGTGTTGAGAGACATTTTGAAATTGGTACAAAGAGACAGTTTTCAACGGCAACCAACCAAAAATGACACCATGGTGTACATTATGTAATATTTGGAATAAATGCTTCATATATCTGTTTCAATGACTTGTAACAAGATGATAATTTTGGTACCTGACAGCATTTAAATTTCCCGCTAAAATTGTGACGGAAACTGGTGTCTAAAGCTCATTAGCTAAAGCCGGATAGGCTGCGCAATAACTCACCCATGTCTATCCATCATGATTTCATGTACCTGCCAAACACCAGTGCACACAAGGTTGCCTAGCAATCAGGGGCAAATGTCACTTATGTAACTCATTACATGTTTCTCATTACATGTTCATTGGCAAAACGTAATGATTTTCGGTCGCTTTAAAAGCCGCAGAATTTTGTAACGTTTATTAAGAGACACCCATATTCATCAAACGTCTTTACAAATAGACTTTACTTTCTCGTATACATATGGATATGTTTGTTTATACATAGTTATGGAAAAGTTATGAAGTGCACAATTCTGTGGGTTCTGTTCTGAGCACAATTCATTACAAGAACCTAATATGATAAATTTTAAAAAAATTAACAACTACGAATTTGACGCAATTTTCACTGAAAGATATTTTCTCAGAAACGGTTAAGATGATTTTTTCTACTCACTATTTCCCATTCTATAAAGAAGAAAATTTGTTTTCTTTTCTATAAAATCTAGTTTTCTTCTGATTGAAATGAAATTGTCTACTTGGGTCCTTCAAAACAATTTTAACTTCCCCTAATGTTATTTTTAATTTACAAATAAAAACAATTTTCAGAAACAAAACCACTTCCGTGAGTTTCAATTTTCTTAAATATTAATTATGTAAAATTTCAAAATAGGCAAATTTGTAATTTATAATTAGAGTTTAATATCATTACATCAGAAAACTATTTATAAACTTCAATAATATATTTTCATAATCAATGTGATCATGATCCTACTTACAGTGAGCTATTGCCAGTGCATATTCAAATATCAAACCCCAAATTGTTCCCTTTATTCTTATTGACCCTCTTCAAAATGTTATTGACACCTTCAGAGTCAATACTGACCTCATTGACCTGAACTTAACAATAAAAAATATTGAAATTTTCTTAATACTTATATTTATTATGAATACTTATATAGTAAGTATTAAACTATTAATAATTATTAATACTTTAATACTTATATAAATTACAATACATAAATTTTACAAAAAACTTTTTATTTCAATAATTAAGTAAAGATTTCAGTTGTTTATAATCTTATTTAAAAAACACCTTTATTAGGTATCTTTGTTTTTAAAATTCTCTGCAAACCTATAACAGATTTAAAACAACCATGAACAAGCAACTTATCCTCTTTGTATAAATAGTTACAGGGAAAACATGAAGCAGCTTTCAGCAAGATTTCAAGACAACCTTA